TTTATTTATAAAAAATATATATAAAAATAAATTATAGTTTTTTACGTACAAAAATTATTTTTGTTATACTGTAGACGCAAAAATTTTACTTATTTTTATTTGTATAACATTAAAAATATTTCAAGGAATAAATTTTTATATCTATTTAAATTTTAAATTTTTTGTTTGTTTATATTTTATATAACGTATAGAATAATTTGCTATCATATATATACACACGTATGAATACCTACACCTACTCACAATCAGCGTGTATATAAGAATAAATCTCTAATTAATTAATAAATTTTAAAGTTATATTAATAAATATTTAAGGTACTATTTAAACAAACGATGTTTTTAATTGTTATTTTGAAATTTTTTTAAGAAACAATAATTTTTTTCTATGAATTTCGAATGGAAGTATCGTGAATTTTCCACAATACTCGAGCATATAATATGGGTAAGGGAATTACGTGGACAATGATCTACATTTTGGTAAATCCTCCCTCTTAATTACATGTACGCTAGTTTTGACCCTCTACATTGAACAAATTAGTTTAAAAGTTCTGTATATATTTTCTAAGTTAATTCATATGATTAGTAAGTAGACTTATAAGAATAAATACCTATACCTCTAATATCACTAAGTCTACAACGCCTCTACCTCGTTTCACCCCATCGTGTGCAATGATATAGTTTACACGAACTCCTCCCCTTAAACTGTACATGTAATTAATGAACTACCCTTGTATAATAATTAAGCAGTTATACGTGTAATTTTCTATGATGTTTTCTATCTTATAACATTAAATTCCAACAATAAATTGAGTAGAATATATTTGACGTGATAAAAATGTTATCGCATATGACACAATCGAACAATCATCATATTGATAAACAATAACGCGCTCGTTCTAGTGACGTATTTGTGTAATGTCATTAATTTATATGACATTATGTGTATAAATTATCAATAAATATTGCATAAAGATGCATTAATTCTATAAAATTACATATTTCCGAATCATCTGTTTAGGCCACAAAGTTTGATTTTTTAAAATTCGTCACTGAAACTTTACACAATAATTGAATTGATTAATTAAAATAGTTAATAATTAATTATTTTGGATAATATTTAACAGAATTATCTAATTAAAAGTAGAATAAATTTGCAATGAATGAATAATTAAAAAATAAACAACATTATAGAATAGTTAAGTAACTTAAAGTACTTAAATAATTAAATATTTTGAATAATATTTAACAAAATTCTCTATAGTTAAAAATAAATTAAATTCTGTTAAAACTTTGTAATTTTGATGGATAAATAATTTAATCAACGAATATTTCGAGATTAGAATAATATACTTTAATTGCAAAATCTCGAGAACGGCGTTAGATATATGAAAGCGGAGACTATATGTGTAAAGCTTAGGGCAGGAGGCCTCGATTAACTATATATCAACTTTCGGTGTAGACCAGAAGTCACGTGATTTCAATTCAAATATTTTTTTCCCCAGAATGGAATTACATAGATGATCGGCAACCACTCTGTTGTTATCAGGAAAAGTATGATGTACAGGGGCAAAATACTACTAATTTGAAATCGAGAGTATATACTGTATTTTAAATTAAATAAATTAAGAGTATGAATAAAAATTGCAACCCATCATAATAATTTTTGTTCGTTTTATTTATATTTCTCTTAGGGTAAATTATTTTCCTTTATGATGAAAGATCAAAGGAAAAAAAAGTATATTTTTATATGAGATTTAACAAAAAAAAAAAAAAACTTTAGCG